GGGGGGGGGGGGGGGGGGTCGTGACTTCCCCTCCAAAGTTTTTCCCCTCGATGAACAACAGTCGAAACCAGAACATGTAAACTAAAAAATTGAAAAAGTTATAGCGTATAGAGCGTTCCTTTAACCGTCCCCAGTATACGGCCCCCTCTTTAAATTTTTGTCGATGCAGATCTTCATATGAGAGCCTCTCCGACCAAACGGCATACACGCATGTCAAATTCATTATGTTTGTGCGATGACACTTTTAAGGGAGAGGAGCTTTAAGTCAAAGTGCAGAAATGAGCGTGAAATTCTTCCGACCTAAATCGTTAAGAGGATGCACTGGACAAAAAATCACATTGGATCTAGAGTCTAGACTCTTAAAAAAATCGACAAGAAAAAATACTCTTGATTCAATCAGAATCTAGCTTAAATCAAGAACCAAGCCTCTTTATTACAGCGGATTTCCTTTTGATCTAAGCAAAAATCTGATTGAATCAAGAGTATTTTTTCTAGTCGACGTTTTCAAGGGTCTGGCGGTGCACGACGTTTGCGCACACTTTTCGTACCGATAACGTTTGCGCACAAAATTCCGAATTTTCATTTGCGCACAGTTTTACCGATAACGTTTGCGCACACTGCACTATGTGGCAACGCTGCATTATACGGAGCATATTTATACGCACGCATTGTTTAAAACCGAACAGAGGGGGCGAGTAAACGAGTGATGAAACAGAAGTGAGTGAGTTTGAGAGTGTGTGTGAGGTGCTTATTTCCACATGAATTATGTAAAAAATAGTTAAATTAATTGAATAAATAGTATTGGCTATACTTACAGATTTTTGGTTTTACTTTCGCCGGAAGAAAATGCCATCGTCAGAGTCGTCTGAACTGGAGCCAATAGTATTCTCAGGATGGCTGGTGGGTGGTTCATGAAAGGAAATNTCTTAGCAACATTGACATTGGTCGGTAAGGTCCTCATATGCTCTACTCTCGGCAAGCTTATGACACTTTCTTTCCTCGACGTGCACACATGATCCGCGGCTGCCCCCCAAGAAGAAATCGGGGTCGGACTTGCGGGACCCGCTGAAATCCGCCTCATCGGGGATACCTCGACAAACTGCATCGCGGGAAGGGGGAGAGGGTGTCACTTAGTCCGGTCGGTAAATCAGGGGGACGTCGCGTCGTCGGTCGTCGGTCGTCGGCCGTCGTCCCGAGTCCGGAGCGATGTTGGATGTCGGCAATTTGCAATTTGTCGTCGTGCTCTGGTCACCGGTCAGCATGCCAAACACGGGCGCCGGATCGGAGCGTCCACTCCGGGGGCGCCGCGACGAGGGTCGAGGAGTTGGTGCCGGCTGGCAGCCCTGGTCGCGAATCAGGTGACGCGCGCCAGGGACCGGTGAAGGGGGCCCGGGTAGAGACAACGCGCAATGGATCCCCGAGGTCCCTGGACTTGTGAGTGGTGGCTTCGCTTCGGATTGCCGCATCGAACGGAATGGAATGGAGCGAGATGTGAGGACGGAGAAAGACGAGCACATCGTCCGGGAACTTGCTTGACCCTGTGGTCTGAAGGACTCGAATCGGATGAGTCGGTAATGTATGTCGGATGAGGATGTATTGGGGATCGGAAACGAGAATCGGAAAAAGAGGAAGATAAATTTAGAGGGAGGAGGAAAATAGAGAAGAGGAAAAGAGAGGGGAGGAGAAGGAGGAGGAAAAAAATGAAGAAATACATAGAAGGATCGATCAAGATGAAAAAAATCCGCTCTGTTTTTGACGCAATGCGTGAAGTATCCATGCCGTCTTGTAGGCACCATGAGTTTTATGGAGCAAGGGAGGAAGATGTTGAGGACACATAATAAAGAAGAGGAGTGGTAGGAGGTGGAACACAAGGAGAGGGAGAAGAGGTGGGAAAGAAAGGAAAAGAAGAGATACAAGGGAGGAGGAGATGGACGAGGTGTTAGATGAAGAAATACACAGGAGGATCAAGAAGAAGAAAAGGAAGTAGAAAAAGGTGGAATGAAGAAGGTGTTGAAGACATATAATGAGGAGGAGGAGGGGTAGGAGGTGGAACGATAGAAGAAGAAAGAGAAAAAGGAAAGAAGTAAAAGGAGAAGAGAATAAAGATGATAAAGAGAACAGGAAGCAGAGACAAATGAGAAACCGAACAGTGTCTCCTTTTCCTCGCCTTTTCATTCTTCTTCCTCTGGTTCTTTCTTTTCCATTCTCTCTTCCTCCTCCTCTACCGTTCCTCATAAGAAGAAGAATTCATCTACCTCCTGTACTTTCTGTTTTTCCCCTTCCTATTTTCCTCTCTCATTTTCTTCTTTTACCTATTCTTCTTTCGCCTCTCCTTCCCGGTCGTCCCTATCCTTTTCTCCCTCTTAATCTTCCTCATCGTTTTTCATTTTCTGATGCATCCCGATCTAATGGCTGCTCAGAATCCTCAGGTATCTAGACTTTACACAGACGTGCTTTTTTCCGGTGATTTCAGTCATATTCGGTTACATTCGAAGGAACAAATTCATTATTTTTCTACCTTGATCTACGTCATGCTGCAAATCTCCTGGGAAGATTCCAGAAATATCGTATTCGTTGCGTCGGCAATCCAACGACATCAGGATTCAGCTTCAAAAGCTCACTCCCTGCTTGGGAACAGATTTTACTCCGAACCAGCGTGACCCACATTCTCGCGAAATTTTACAAATTATTCCACGCTAAGAACGCAAATCCTCGCCACACGCAAGGATTCATCCGCCGACGACAACGTGTACATACAACCTCGCATGAAATTAAGTCCCCTGTCTCATTCCGGTTTTGCATGTATTCAAACTGGAGAGCCTTGTCATTTTACCCGGCAATGGCTCTGTTATTCCGGCCTGGACCCCACACGGACCAGCTTGTGCCAACAAAAACAACGTAACTCCGATGGAAACTGTTCGTATATACGTTATTTTTGCCCAGAATAGTAGAAACACTGTGCCACGAAATGCATCTGAAAAAACAACGTAACATCGATTGCAACTATACACAAGATCGTGGTTCTTGCGTGGCAAAGTAGACCCACCGTGTCACATCTATACTGTAAACAAGAACCACGTAAGTCCAATAAGAACTGCACACACATGCGTGACTTTTCCTTAGTGGAGTGGATCATCCGGTCCCGAGTGATCGGCACGCTGCGTCCGGAAAAAAACGTATCTGCAGAGGGTTGGGCCCAGCACACTTGCGCGGTTTTTACTCAGTGGAGCAGTGCAACTCTCAATCTCAAACCACAATCACATCCGTTGCCACTCGTCGAATGTCCCCGTCAATATGCTGCCATGCTAAGGAAGAACGCCGTATGAGGCTTTAGGCGTTGCCAAGTTTCCTCCAATAAAAACCTAATTTACTGGGAATATTGTGAATATTATTTTCCAAAATTTTCAGACAATTTTGTAGGCAATTGAATCTAAAATACCTGAAAATTGTAAGGAAAAATATGCATGAATGTTGTCCAAAATTCATGTTTTATCAAGGGAAATTTGGCAACTCTCGAATGTTCATACGGCGTTTTTCCTCAGCACGGCAATATAGTTTGTTATTGGCCCACATCAACTTGTCGTTATTGTCGTGTTCTTTCGTGCCACGGGAAAAAGCCGTATGAACATTCCAAGGTTGCCAGATTTCTCCTGATGAAATGTGAATTTTTTCAGGAAACTTATGAAATTTTGTCCGTTAATT